CTGCGCAACGTTGCTGCAATATTGCAATCTTGCCATATAACATTTTTGCAATCTTCCTGCAATCTTTCCGTGCTGTGTGGGCGACGATATCGCGATTATTCTTCGGGGGTTCGCGCGGCCAATCGCAGGCGCCGCCGCTCCCCGTTACCATCGGCGCCCGTTGCCGCGGTCTCCCACGGTGACGCGGGATCCGCCGAGAGGGCGCTAGCGCACGGACCCGCTCCCGGAGTCGCACGCGCACTGCCCGCGTACGTCCCCGCGGGTCCACTCGAGGGGGCACCTCGTCGCCGATGTATCGGCGACCGAAGCGCCCATACCGTCTCGTGTCGCGCGTACCGAGCCCTGCGAGCCGTGAGAGGAAGTAGTTTAAACCGTTCATGATTTGACACGGGCAGGATTGTGGGTGCAACCTCGATCGAGTCGTTTCCACGCTCGTAACATTGCTCTGACCTGGGATATCATTTTGCAAGGTACGGACCGCCGCGCGGTGCCGCCCGCGGACCCCGCGAACTACGTTCCCTCGGCTCTCCCGCGCCTCTCTCTCTCGCAGGGGAGCGCACATAACCCCCCTCGGTTCCCCACCGAGTCCAGCTCGCGCTTCCTGCAGGCGGCGAGTCTCGCTGACCCGCGCCGCTCGCCCGACGCTGTTCTCGCCCCGCGCGTCCGTCCGCGTCCTCGCGCCGGCCCGCGTCCCGCCCTCGCGCGACGTCCACTGTGATGAACTGTTGTTGTTTACCCGCGATACCCATAACCTGCCCTGCCTGCAATCCGAGAGTGGCCGAGGGTCCGCCGCCGTGGCCGTCGTCTCCGCGTAGACGTGGACCCTCGCGGACGACGCTCGTGGCCTCCCTCGGTCACCGACGCTCGCAGGCGGTCGCGGTTAGAAGCTGCTGTCTCACCGCATTATTCGCATATTTGCAGTGATATGGAGAAGGAAAGGCCGTGACGCGGAGGGAATTCGAAGACAAAAGCCCCGGTGAATGCAGGAACATGCCTTCAGCTACCGGTACGTAAGACGTGCACGACGCACGCTGGCTCGCTTCCCGTTCGTGGCTCGAGAGGAGACGTGGCGACGGTGGGCTGCGGTCAAGCTGTCGCTCCGAACGTCCCAAAGTATTCTTCTTCTCCTTTCTTTCAGAACAGGTAGAAGGAGAAGGGAAACACCCCGAGGCATTTGTAACAGCGGCTTGACCGCAACCATAATTGTATGTGCGACACTTGCGACGACGCCATGTACAACGAGAGTGTACATTGACGCTGGGTCAGGAGCATTGAAAGTGAAATCCACGTATATGTGTAACTGGTTGATAAATTAAGGTCGTATGCATTACAGGAATACGGAGGCAAAGTAAATAAAGGGCGAGCGAACGAAAGCGTAGGTGCGGTAGAGGAGATAGAAGTCACGTGCGATAATGTGTTAGTAGATGCGACACTATTGAGAGACACTTGTACTGTCCGTCGGTGCCGGAGAAGATGTGCCTTTTCGCAAAGTTTGTGAAGAACGCACGTCCGTTGGAGGCTGCGCTTCGGAAAGTCGATTTAGCGTTTTAAAGAGTTGACGGTTAAACGATCGATTAAGAGCCATGTAACTACATTACGAATAAAGAAGTCGTTTTCACGGGCGATATGCGTTTGTAATTCTGCATAGATTGTACGAATTGCTTGAGTTCTGTAAACTTTCGCGGAAACGTTGCTTCAGAAGAATCTCACTTTCATGTTCCTGATACTCGAATCGCAATAGCAATTTGCGAAGCTAAATGTACACATTCCGTCGAGCGTCGAGCTTGCAAGTTAACCGAGGGATTAAAGAGAAGCGCCGAATATCTCTGTCACATGCCATAATTCATGCCGCACTTGTTTGCCGTTGAACGATATTGATTGCGAACAACTTTCAGGCGGGACCAACCAAATAGGGCAGCAGAAGGGAGGTGGGACTATGCCCAGTAATGAAGAGTGTGGAATCAGAGATGTATGGGGACACAATTTGGAAGAGGAGTTTCGTACAATACGCCAGGTCGTACAACAGTATCAGTATATCGCTATGGATACAGAGTTTCCGGGTGTTGTAGCTAGGCCTATTGGTAAGAATGCAATATCCTTGCGGTGATCTCGTATACGTCTTTCGGGAAAGCGTGCGTATTGCAAATAATTTTCTCTTTGGAACAGGAGAATTCAGAACTAATGCCGACTATCAATACCAGCTCTTACGCTGCAATGTAGACCTTCTGCGAATAATTCAACTTGGTCTCACATTCCTTGACGAGTCGGGGAATACGCCAGGCGGTAGCTACACAACATGGCAGTTTAATTTTAAGTTCAATTTACAGTAAGTTCACGTCAACACGTAACACTTGGTTTTACGATGTAATTGCATGCAGAAGTTTTTTTACCCCTTTTTTTTTTAAATAACTCTGGTAATAAGATGTGTACATTTTGTTGTTGCTAGTGAAGACATGTATGCACAGGATAGTATAGATATGCTACAAAATAGTGGTATACAGTTCAAGAAACACGAAGAGGAAGGCATCGATCCTTTAGAGTTTGCTGAGCTATTAATGACATCAGGAATTGTTCTTGTTGATGACATAAAATGGCTATCCTTTCATTCTGGCTACGACTTCGGTTACTTATTGAAACTTCTGACGGATCAGAAATTGCCACAGGAGGAAAGTGAATTTTTCGAGCTTCTTAGGATATACTTTCCGACGATATATGATGTAAAAGTGAGTTGATTTTTTTAAGAGAAGTAAAACCAATCGAGAATACACCAGGTATGAATTACATCTCGTTTCTATGTTGCGCAGTACTTAATGAAGTCGTGCAAGAACCTGAAAGGCGGTTTACAAGAAGTGGCAGAACAGCTGGAAATTCAAAGAGTAGGCCCACAGCATCAGGCCGGTTCCGATTCCCTTCTTACTGGGATGGTCTTTTTTAAGATGCGAGAGGTAAGCAATTGAGTCTGCCAGGATGTAACTTATCGAATGATCAACCTTTTAAAATGGTAATGCGTTTATGTGCGGAATTGTAATTTGCCTTCGACTTTCATTCCAGATGTTTTTTGAAGATAATATTGATGATGCAAAGTACTGTGGACACCTATACGGCTTGGGAACGTCATTTGTCATGAATGGGTCTGGCGGATACATGGACAGTAATGGAGATAATGCCTCGACGTCGTAATATTAAAGAAAGAATCAACCGTAACAGAGAGATTATTTCATTACAAATAAAATGTTATAAAAAAGTCTTTTCACTTAATGGTGAAGTGTATGGTTCATATCCGCAATAATTATATTGACATCATTGCTGTAGGTTCCACACGAAAGGCAGTTTAGAGAACATGTCTCTTTAAGATCTCTCTTCTGTTTTTTTTTATTTTTTTGAATTCTTTCTGTGACTCCTTTTGTAGATTTCTTCTGTGATACGTACCGTCAATCGAAAAGATATTTACAACACCGAACAGCATAAAATAATGTAATATAATTTTTTTTTGTAAACATTTGGACAATATTGATATATAAGATACCGTCGCAGTACAAAAATTCCATAATTTCCTCTACTTTTAAGATCCCTGCAGTATACATATCTAACCGCTCGATTAATACATGACGAAAGCGAGAAAGTTGGTTAACATACCCAAACCAAACTTAATTTACAGCTAAAATGTATTGGTAATGCTCGGTGCGTTCGATATTTATAAGAATCTGTCACGGTAACTGATATTTTTCACTTGTCGCAAGCTCGAAGCAGATATACATCTACTTATTATGTTATACGATTAGTAATATAATAAAGAGATCTATTTCTGGTGCTTATAAATATTATTTAAAAAAAATTCGTTCATTGAACTCGTCGAACATTATTGATGCACTCTGTACATGCTACACTACGCAGACGTATCTATTACTGTTGATCTGTATATTTATTCTATGATGCATTTGTAGCGTGGTATATTTTAAATGAGAAAAACATTCGTATATACACATTTTTAAAAGCCGCAATGAAGGGAGGTACGTTGTTTTTAGGTTGTCCGCGTTGTTTTTAGGTTGAACCATATAAAATATTGATATAAGAGCATCATACATTTTTATTATACGTATAACGGATGGCGTAAATGATGCGTTCGTGTAAAAAAAAAAGTATTAGTGATACGACTCTAAAGATGAAGTAGCCTTCGTATAATATTTGCTATATATACTGCACGTGTTTTATTGTAAAACTTGTCGTCCGCAAGAACGCAAGGAAGGAAAAGAAACTTTTGGTACATTTTCGAACTAATCGTACTAAAAATATCTGCTTTGTAAATATGACAGTTGCAAAAGTCGAATAAATAATAATTTGCCTGTAGACACGACGAATTTTTATGCATTCACGACGGCGAATCGTAAGCTCGGTCGTCGAGTCTCTCGACGAAATACAGTTTTCGTTCGTGAGCGGAAACGCCCTTCTCGCAAGTAGTACGTGTACTTACTTTCCCGTTCGTTCTACGCACCCACCTGTAGTAAAGAGATAAATGTTATCGTACTAGAGCCGATGATATCAGTACGGTCGTTATCGCGACCTGTTACCTGGATTCGAGTTCAGTCTCGTCGTGCGTATTAAAGTAATTAGTTGGTATACCGCTGCTTCGCGAAGATGCGACCTCGAGGGTCGTGCAAGAAGCTCGATTGCATTTTCGCATTATCGAAATGGATCCTTCTCTCCGGCTGCCTCCTCTCGTTAACACCACGTGGTATCATCGCGCAAAATGAAAGCGAGACGTTCGAAAGTGCATTCGGATTGAATTTGCCCGAGTCGATCGAGAACGAGAGCACGGAGAGGAACACCAGTTTGCCGCCGCAGACGAAGGAGGCTCACCTGGAGCTCGAGGACCTCGCTGTGGAGGAGAAGGATCTGAGTCCTGTTGAGAAAAAGGACGGCGTGGAGAGTCAGGTGCAAGCTTTGCCAGAAGCTGAAAATGCTTTCGCGGCGAAAGGCGAGGCCGAGGTGGACACGTTCTCCGTGCAAAATATTTCCGGTAGGATGGCGAAAGAAAAAACTGCGAAATATGTAAGATACGGTAAGTGATCCGTTATCAGTGGGCGTGACCACTGTTTCGCAATGAGCAGCCTTTCCCATCGGGCGACGTTGCAGCCGCGGAATCCATTTTCTATCAACTTTTCTTTCGAAACGACCGCAATTCCCCTGAAATGCCCCCCTTTCCGAAACGGCGGTGTAAAATAATCGAAGCCGACGTGAGCCGCCTCGAGTTCTCACGTATTTCTCACCTCGCTTACGATAGAAGACAATTCCCTATCGCTGCTTATCACACGGCGTGTTTATCAGTTACTCACTTTAACATGAATCGGGGATGATTCATTGCGAGGAGATGAGCCATTTTGATGCATCATGAGTTTATATAGAATTAACGATCGATTTTACATTACGTGGAATATTACAGATTTGCATTTATTCTTAACGTTGCAATGATAAGGAATTTTTATTTGTCGCATGCATACGATCAGTGTTCTTGTTTGAATATTTAATTGCGCGGGAATATTATGTTCAATATTATGCGATAAGCTTGTCTTAATCATTTTTTAAAAAATAGCATCGATTTGATCGATTTTCTTTTTCGGTACACACTTACAGATTCGAATTTACCTGACGCCTATAGGTACGCGCCCCGCCCGGACGACAATCAGGCGTTTTATAAAATAACGGACACCAGGTTGAAAGAAATTCGTTCTGAATTTATGTACTGGTACTTTGATAAAGGCGGCAACGACGAGAAGGGCGACTACCAGTCGGCCCTGCAGGCGACGAACTTGCAGATCCATAAAAATCTCAACTTCCAGTTGCCTTTCTTCGGCTTTAGGTTCAACTACACAAGAGTACGATCGCTTTTATATTACTTCGTAATTTCGGATAGCACAAGTATTTGTTCTAAATGATAGTGTAAATACTTGGGGCCCGTATTCTGAATCCTCTCTTATCGATAAGAGCGTCCGCAAAAGATTCTTTTAGCCAATAAGAATCCTTCAAAGCCAATTTTAGTGGCACTTTTAGTGATTTCAGAATATGGACTTTAATCTACATTAATTTGAAAATCTTGACTTATTAATACTTCGACGCGGATATTCAAATGTTTCACCATTTGGAAGAGTTTTACGATAAAAGAAAAAACATTTGTTCGCCGCCGGATGCAGTTAAACGAGATATTCCGTAACGTTTCAGTTAACTGTTAACGGATACTTGGAATTCAGCGACCCACCGGAGCACCTCACGTACCCTCTTGTCTTTCCCATTAAAGATTGGCCTAAAAAGAATGATCCCAGCTTCATCGGCATTTTCTTCAGCAAATGCCGCATAGGACTGTTGCGAGAAACCGATCTCGATCAAAGGAAACCGGGGGTGTACTTCAGGTACGCGCTGGCTGAAACGATTAGCGCAACACATGTCAATCCTGTATTTCCGAAAATCGACGAGATTCACGAAAATTAACGACGCTGTTTAGGCTCGAGAGGGATCTGCAAGGGAGAACCGACCAGTTCGGCGTGGAGATGCGAGAGCGTGTCATGTGGGACATCCGCCAGGGTGTCGTCGGCGCCGATTCGTTCATACCCAAGCACGCCCTTATCGCAACCTGGAAGAACATGTCTTTCACGGGTGGTATCGACCTGTCCCTCCACAAAACTAACACGTTCCAGTTGGTCCTAGCCACCGACGAGGTCTTCACCTATGCCATTTTTAATTATCTCAATATCCAATGGACGAGTCACACCGAGGCGGGCGGTGACACGACACAAGGCGAGAACGGAGTCGCCGCATACGTAAGCGAGCGCGGCGTACAAGTCGCGTATTATGTTTTGTTTTGTTGAATTTAGAATCGCGGATAAAAAAAACTCCGTCTGGATGAAGCACAGATTTATTTGCGAAATCCATTCAAGGTGGGCTTTAACGCCGGCAACGGCACTCAGAGCTACGAGTATAAGCCCTACTCGCAAGCGACCACGATCCGCGACTTAACGAGCAGGGGATGGGCGAACGGTTTCCCGGGACGGCACATTTTCAGGATAGACGAGAAGATAATGCTGGGCACCTGCAATAAGGACATAGGTAAGAAGGAAAAATAGGAGCGTCGTTTTTATCACAATTACTGGCCGAAGAGTGGCGATTTTTTACCGCCGGATGATGTACAGCCGGAGCTCATCTGCCGCTGGTTTTCGCACCGGAGTCCGGGAACATGCTGGGTGGTACGGTCGTCAACATCACCGGGCCGTGTTTCAACGAGAGCCAGAAGATCAAATGCCGTTTCGAGAACGAGGTGGTGATGGGCGTGGTAATAGACAGAAATCGCGCGATCTGCGTGCAGCCGTTCCTCAAGTACGAAGGCTACATTCGCTTCTACATCGCCATCGACAGTGGCACTTACGATTGGAAGGGAAAGTATTTCGTCGGTAAGAAACCCCCTTACTGCGCTCTCATTCGATACTGAGCGTCTCTCCGATTGTATTAATTTACATATGCGCGTATGCTTCCGCTCGTAGAAACCCCGGCAACGGCGACAGAGAGGATCTTCTTCATCGATAAAGAGGCCGTTCACTTGAAGGATCCCGCGGAAATAAAAATCACGTGGAACGCGTATAATTTGACCACCAATATAGGAGCGGGAATACAGATCTCGTTGTGGGGATACAGGGAGACCAAGACGAGACCAGAGTTTGAGTACATAACGATTCTGGAGGTTCGTACGAGACAACTATGCCGGAAATAATTCTACAAAATTCTACAAGAAAAAATATATACAGGGTGTTATGTAATACCCGCATCAACGCTTATTGTGGGATAGAGTGGACTAGACTAAGTCGAAAAGTCCTGTACCACTTTGCAGGTTTTGCAATAGTTAACGAGTTATTAATTATTAAAAATCGCTGTCTTAGGCCGGCCCACTGCCAAATTCAAACGTGCGGCGAGATCGATCGATCGTTACTAGGCGCGCAGAGAGTTGTAACGATCGATCGATCTCGCCGCACGTTTGAATTGGGCAGTGGGCCGGCCTAAGACAGCGATTTTTAATAATTAATA